GATTACAAGGGGTATAAACGATCTGTGGCAAGCAGATTTGGTTGAAATGGGAGCCTTTTCAAAATCTAATTATGGGTACCGATACTTGTTCACTGTTATAGACACATTTTCGAAATATGCTTGGGGTGAGGCATTAAAATCAAAAGCAAATGATGTTTCCCAAGCCATGGAGAAAATATTTAAACTGGGTCATGGAACACCAAAAAACCTGCGCACTGATGATGGCACTGAATTCTTCAATTCTAAATTTAAGGTATTAATGAAAAGTTATAGGATACATCATTATTCAACCTTAAGTACTCTAAAAGCATCAATAGTTGAACGTTCCAATAGAACTCTTAAAGAATTAATGTGGCGTGTGTTTAGTTTCAATGGAAAATATAAGTGGATAGATAGGTATAAAATATTAGTTAATAAATATAATAATAGAGTGCATAGAACAATAAATATGAGTCCAAGTAAAGTCAATTCTTTCAATGAAAAACAAATATTACAAACATCGCATAATCACCTGAAAATTCCGTAAGGGGGACCACGTTCGTATCAGTAAATATAAACATGTCTTTGAGAAAGGGTATACACCAAACTATACAACTGAAATCTTTAAAATTAGAAAGGTGAAGAATACATACCCTAAAACATACTTACTTGAAGATTTAGATGGTAGCCCGATTCAGGGCGGGTTCTATAAAGAACAACTGAAAAAACACGATTCCCCCACACATACCTAGTTGATAAAGTTGTATGGCGAAAAGGAAATAAAGTTTTGGTTAAGTGGCTGGGGTTTTCAAAGACTAGCTGGATAAATAAGGAAGACATTTTGTAGTACAACAAATGATTTACTTAATTAATTTTTATTTATATATTGATTTTTATTTTACAAATATCTTATATTAAGTTTAATATTAATATTTTTGTACAATGTTTTAAAGTAAAATTAAAAAAAATAATAAAAATACTTTTTACAAACTCAAAATAATTTTCATTTATATTTTCCAAAGTCTCGGTCGTAATAAAACATCTCCAATTCAACTGATTTATAAAAAAGTTCTTTTTCAATATGTTCCTTGTGAAATTGAAGGCTATCTGATGATTTTCCACCGTTCACATAATTATTTTGTATCATCTCACCCACGCAAAATGAATTTGATTCTAGCCATTCAACATTTTCTAAAATATCTTTTTCGATTAATCTATGATGTTTTATTGATGTCGTACCATGGTCTTTATTACTTAACTCTACAAATTGTTTTTCATTAACATTACGGTTTCTTTTGTTATCTTTGCCACGAAGAATTTTTTTATTTACCTGTAGTTATTTTTTGTGATTTTGATCTAGACATTGTTCTATTACCATATAGAAAGGCCCCAGATAATAAAACGTTTTTATAGTGTTTAATTGTAATATTTCGTGAACTCACTCCCTTTGCTTTATTATGTGAAGATTCAACTTGATCTATTCCATAACAATAAACCTTTGAGCAGAGACCTACAAATTCTGTCATGAGTTTACCGTTAAGATCATCTTTAAAAAACCCTAAACTTTTTTTGTTAAGTCTTTTAAAATTATATAGATTAATTCTTTCATATGAATAGTCCGATGCATAACATTTTGCTTTAAGATCATTACGAATATCTTTATAGAAATCCTAGGTTTTTATTGTATAGATAAATGAATCAGTATCCATATAATTTAAGAGTAACTCTTCCTGAAACTTTGGCTTCATATATTGATAGTGAAAATCATACATTTTCCATTTCGATAAGTCTAACACTGCAAATTCCAAATACATTTGCTTATTAAATAGAACGGACAACCTTTTCATTTGAATTGCATAGTAATTATCATTAATTTTTATTGCACTATGAAAATTGGATTTTGAAATTAAAGTTTTGGCACAATGTGCTTTTCGTCCAGTCTTCGTGTTATCCGGCGCATCCCATGTACTAATAAGCTTAATATCGACCCTGCGCTCGGGATCTTCCATTGTTTTTCCGTATACAGAATTATTCATCAATTTAAAAAAATCTTTTTCAAATTTATTTTTTGCATTTTCCCTGTGTAAAGTATTTAGATCAATGTAATTCTTTAACCAAGGTTTTTGTAAGAAATTAACTCCTTTATAGATATTTTTCAGTACTAACCCATTCTGTATACATTGTTGCAAATTCCGATAACGTATTACATAATTTTTCTTATTTCCCAGTTCAGCAATTAATTTTTGTACCTTATCCTCTTTTGAGGCCAGATCATTATGAATGTAAATGAAATGTATCATGTAAACGGTACGGATATATTAAGTCCGCTTCCAAAAAATAACCGTATTTGCTATCAAATGGAATATTATGAATATCAAAATTGTCTATGTCTGCAGTAGACATCCACTTAAAGTCTTCGTATGGTCTTTGCCCAACCATACAAGCTATTCGCATCCACATACATTAAAAATGAAGACTCCTTCGAGGAATCATAATCTGACAAATATTTATTATTTGCTTTTGTATATCTATGACAATATTGAACTAAACCACCTCGAATGCTACTTTGAACAAATCTATACATATCTATATCTGTCAGCAATTTAAGTTGAATATTTGTAGTTTTCAGCATTGCCTCCCAAGATAGACCTGGTGTCGTAAAATACTGAGCTAGGTCAAGTGAATAAATTTGCATTAAATTTTTCGGAAGTTTTCGAAAATGTCAGTTAAAAGGAATACATCAGTTTTCAAATATAATAACATTCTTACGCATTAGTTGAATTTCAATATCATTACTAAAAAATGACTTTACAGTATTCATTTGATCATCAGCTAAATTAGAAGCTAGGGTATCAAAACTTGATGGCAAAAAAAAAACGAATTTCAAAACTATTTCCACTTAAACATTTTATTTTTTTTGAGACAGAAATATAGTTGTCCTTATTTATTGGTATTACGGAAATTTCACCGGGAATCTTTCCCAACTCTTGAATAAATAAATGACAGTCGTATTTCGAAAAATTATGAAAAAATACTGGTATGAATTTGTTAACTTTATAATTCAAGATACATTTAGAGTGGGCTGCACCTCTAAAGCGACCTGTGAAATGACAATGATCTCTAACCCTATCAGTCCCTTAAACATTTTGACAAATAGAACAATTCAAAGAATTATCAAGTGCTTGCTGGTCATCCAAAGTCATTCTCATAGGAACTATTTTATGTAAGTAGTCATCACTCAATTTAGTTACATTTTTTATCAAGGAATTTACAACATTTTTTCCTGTTTCTAAACCCAATTTATCTAGTTTAAAATCAAAAGCACACTTTATATAATACGCATATGATATTGGAATATGTTCATTAATATTAAATAATTTGGGGCTCATTTCAAGATTTGTTGGCTCCAGAATGCATTCAAAAACCGCGAAGACAACAAATGGAACTTTAAGCTGATGTTGAACTTGGGTAATTTCCAGTGTATTATTCTGGGGGTGCGGCATCTTTGAAACCTTCCTACTACAGAGCGTCTTGTATTTCAATGCAGCTTCCTCGGTTCCGGAAAAATTCAAAACCACATTGCTGAAAAATTGCGCCCTCCTCCGATTTCCTATTTGAGCAGTTATTGTTCTTTGAAAAATAAATGCATACAAATTATTTAATTGCTTAAAAGAGATAAAAATGAATAAAAGAATTTACCTTGAAATATTTTAAATGTACATGCAATGTCCATTTCCACCGTCTTCCAAAAACATCATATTGATATGAAGAGGCTTTTCCATTTCCGATTGAAAAAGTGGTCCAATTATTTCCCTCGTCTCTTCATTATATCCGATTACGTTTAAACTCATATGAGTATTTTTATACCCGTTACTCGTAGAGTAAAAGGGTATACTAGATTCGTCGGAAAGTATGTAACAGGCAGAAGGAAGCGTTTCCGACCCCATAAAGTATATATATTCTTGATCAGGATCACTAGCCGAGTCGATCTAGCCATGTCCGTCTGTCCGTCTGTCCGTCTGTCCGGATGAACGCTGAGATCTCGGAAACTATGAGAGCTAGGCTATTGAGATTTGGCGTACAGATTCCTGAGCTTCTTACGCAGCGCAAGACTGCCACGCCCACTCTAACGCCCACAAACCGCCCTAAAATGTAACTCCTACAGTTTTGATGCTAGATAGAAAAAAAAAAATTTTGCTACGCCCACTCTAACGCCCACAAACCTCCAAAGAAAAAAGCTATGACGTCAGAGCCAGACAATGCGAAATGTTTTTACGCGTGTATGTGTGTGTATGTAAATAGTTGCCGGCCGAACTTTGCGGCAAAGAAAAAAGCCCTGCCGGCGCTCAGAGAGAGCAAAGTGCGCGGCTAACTTATTCTTTTGAATAATGAACCCTTTATCCATTTGTCCCATTGACGGGCAAAAACCTTTAAAGATCTGTACATCTTTATTTATCTCTTTCAAAGAATATGAATTAGCTTAATAAATACCTATAGATTGTCCAGAAAAAACTTTTCCGTTTTCAGTCCAATGCTCTCAAACCAAAGTAGTTAGGACAAGCCTTGACACTACCCTGCAGTACCATTCAGCGCTTATTGAGCACTCAATCACTGCAAAAAGCTCATCACTCAGCGCTCAATGAGCGCACAATTTGTATGGAGCTAGGTGCTGAAATTAACATAGGCATGTCCTAGGGTTCATCAGTGCTCAAAAAATAGCACGCATTGAGCGCTTTTTTGAGCACCCTCTTGAGCGCTCGATTGAGCAGCGGTAAAAGCACACATTCAGCACACGTTAAGCGCTCATTCAAGCAGCGAAAAAGCGCACTTTCAGCGCTTAGCAGCAAATAAAATTTCAGTTGTAATTTTTATTTTTTTTTGTTTATTTTAAAATTTGAGCTCGGGGGTTTCCGGTGTTATCGGGGTCGCTGGCACCTCCTTCTCAGCATCTGGTGCCGGCGTTGCCTTTTTTTTGGTACAACTCAAGTTTTTAACGCACCGCATTGCCTTCTGCAGCGCCTTTTCGGGAGGCTCCGAGGGATCCACCAGGGCGATTGCATCTAGTATTAGAAAAAAATTAGTTTTAATAATAAAACAAGACGAGAATAAAAACGAGTGACCGAAAGTAATCGTTATTTGTAAGATATATTTATAATAAAAGAAATGTTATCTTTGGCATTCAATGTAAAAATCCCAGAAGTCTTTTAAAAATTAAACTTACAAACAATAGTTTTCAGCCTCAACAAAAACTTACTTAATAGGGCACGGCGAAATTTGGGTAGTCTGAGCCTCTTCTTGTTTTGCCCCCCTCCAAGTTGTGGGACAGAACAAGTTCCTCGGATAATATGCTTAAGATGGAACGACTTAGCCTTCCATTTTTTTTATAGATTTACCATCAGCCTTGTCTAAAAATATAAGAAAATTAATAAAATATCGAGAAGAAATTTGCAAACTTTTGTTTTCGGTCACTTGATCTATTTTATTTTGTTGTAAAAAATTATTTATGTATTTTTTTTATTATTTATTAAATCATTTATTTATTTTGCAGATGCGGAAAAAATACCACTTTTCCAGGGACGGAAAATTAGAGATGTTTGAGATTTTTATTTAAATAGTCATGTAAACGAACATGACTTACACAAAAATAAAAATTGTGCTTTAATGTTATTAATACAAAAAATCATAAGTTATAAAACCGAACATCTCATATTTTTGGTCCCTAGGAACTTATCACTCAATAAGATTTTCAAATTTTTTCACAGATTCATTAATTTGTTTATTTATATGCATCGTTTGTTGTTTTTCAGGTCAAAAATTAATATTTTTCACAGCTATTTTTTTTCCGCCACGTGTTTTTTTGGGAATCTTCTATTTTCCATTTTTTCAATATACTTTAACTTGTTTTTACTCTCACTGATTAAATAAATATTGGTCTGCGACAGACTTACCTGAGAATCGTATAGGTATCACTTTTAAACCACTGGTTTATTTTATTTAACTACCTTAATTGCGTGCAATTCTAACTCCTTCATATAAGTAAACCCAAGTGAAAAAGACGAAAAAAGTAGCGTGCCTTCCAGAAAAACAACAAGCAACAACAACAACGGTTCCGCTAATCCGTTGTTGTTCTGTTTTTTTGGCATGTCCCGTTTGGTCTATGCATCTTGCACATAAAAGCAGGGTATTTATAGACATATCCGACTATGCAAATCGGTTTATAAAAATATATTCTTAAAACTTCACATATTATTAAATAATATTAATAAACCTATAAATTTGTTTAAGAAATACAAATATTTTAAAACAGAAACCTTTTATTTTAAATGGTTCTTTTATCATTTACGAACAAATGTCGCATTATTCAAAAGGCAAGGGTGCACAAAAGTCTATATATTTTAGTTGCTGGGCCTCCTTCCCATCACGCGCACTTTTTCGTCTGAGACTTGACGAGAGAGGGAGAGCCCAAAATTACTTTTTTGTGCGTTCTCTTTGCGGACCCGACTGAGAGCGCGTCGCTTTGCCGCCGTTGCGCTCAGCTCTGCCGGCGTCGCTGGCTTCTCTGCCGACGTCGCAGTCGGCTTCGTGATGATTGGGCGCTTAACTCAATTGTGGAACTGCAGGGTAGAGCCAGAAAACGACATACATACATACATATGTATTTATGCATGTGTGTGGACGTAAAAAATTGCAATCTAATATCCGCGGCAAATAGAATTCTTTCAAACAAAGCTATTCAACCAAATATTTTAAAATTGCCTTAAAATTGTGTATGTTTAGCAAGCATACATACAGCTGTGTTCATTAAAATAGCAGTGCGACAGAAGCGAAACTATATAACGGTTTATTAGCATAGTCCTTTTCATTAGTTGATCGCTAGTACATCTTTTTTGTAGAATGGATCATAGAGATACAAAACAAGCAAAAACCCCATTAGATTTGGTCTGTTTTTGGGTTTCTTTCATATTTTTGCACACGGACACAACATTTCGGCTGTTCACTAAAATAGCAGTTTTTGATTTTCTTTCAGGAAAAGTCCCGAAAATGTTTGTAATTTGGTAAAAATAGGTTTTTAATGAAGACCATTATTATAAATTGAACCATAATACACTATAACTATAGAAAAAAATTAACTTTAGTGGGTAGAGGACCTCATTGCTTCCCGGGAGAAAGGAAAAATTGATTGAGCTTAGAAAGGAGGGCAAAACGTCCCTTAAAATGTACAGGCAATATGAGTTACAATGCCGTAAACTATGAACCGAAGTCCGAAAAACGTTATACGATACGGAAAACCACAATTATAGAGGACTTTCGCAAAGTGCGCTTCAGCAAAACTTATCCTTTTGCATCCTGTAGGACTATAAAAGCGGATGTGAGCTTGGGAATCAAGTATGGCACTATTCTCCGAAGTCTGTTCGATGAAAATTTGAGTGCTAGAAGTCCACCAAAGGAGCCATTACTTGGTAAAAGACACCTCAAAGACAAGTTGAAGTTTGCCAAAAGCCACTTGAACTAGCCACTTTCAAAAGGTCGATATATCCTTTGGACAGATGAGTCTTAGCTGGTGTTTTTTGGTGGAACAGGTTTAAAATAGAATGTCCGTCGACCACCAAACACCGGGTACCACCCAAAACAAAATCTCAAGACCGTTAAGCAGATGGCCTTAAAATCATGGTATGGGCAAATTTCTCATATAGCGGTGTGGGCCCCATACGTTTGATCGATGAGATCATGGACCAACATGTTTACGTAAATATACTGAGAAACGTCATTCTGTCGTATACTGATGATGAAATGTCCTTAATATGGACATTTCAGCAGGACAATGATCCTAAACACACCAACAAATGAGCCACACCAACATTTAGCCAAAAACAAATTGACGTACTGCCGTGTCCAGCACAGTCCCCGGATTTAAATCCGATTGAGAACTTATCGAGGGACATAAGCGTTTTGTTGTCAAGAAATCCCCGACTTCTTAGCCGCAGCTTTGGCAAGTTGTGCAGGAGGGATGGGGTCAGATTTCCCGCAAACGTTGCAAGGACTTGGGGGACTCCATGCCACGTAGGTGTTAGCCTGTAATAGCCAATAAAGGCCCTACAACAAAATATTTGGTCGTAACAAAATCGATATTTAGTAGGATTAAGTTATTAATGAGCCATATTGAATTTTATCATATTTTTCTTTTAAGACTGCTATTTCAATGAACACCATAATTCAGTCTTTCTTTTTTGTTATTATCCATATTTGCTAAAATATTGAAGTACCCAACAGGAAAAAACAGCTAAATTATTTAAAAATAAATAATTAAAACTGTTGTATTTAAGTTTTGTTTCAATGATGTGTTTATAATAGTGTTTTTCAATTTTATACGTGCAGGTCGTATGCACTGCTATTTCATTGAACACAGCTGTAAATATAAATGTTTTTTGTCTATTTTATGTGTTGCTTTCTCATTCTTGGCGCTGGCTGAAACAAAAGCAGAGCCGAGAAATGAGAGCAAGGGAGAGAGAACAAAGTGCGCGGCTAACTTATTTTAAAGTTTGTTATCTGAGTAACGGGTATCTGATAGTCGAGGTACTCGACTATAGCGTTCTTCCTTGTTTTTTTTTAAATTTGTTATACACTTTATTTCAAGGGGGAAAGTCAACCCTGTGAAATCTAATATTATTTCATCACTTATACGAATTATCTCCAGCAATATATCAATATTATATGCCGAACATCTTTGCGGCCTGTTAACAATTTTTAAGGCAGAAATCAACTCCCATTTAAAACAATATTGATCATTTTCGTTACAAACATTAACTATTGCTTTTTTTGTCAAAAGGAAACGAGGTAGTTGTATGAAGGACGAACCAGCCATCGGTGTATACTGATTCACTTTCATTTCCAAGCGAATCAATTTTATAAGACATCATCCACTGTCTCTCTCTTGAAATTCTTGAGTTTTAGAAATTATTTCCATGGTACGTTCATGAAAGATACATTCTAAATCAGAATCTTCATTCATAATCGTCATTTTACTTTGAAAACTTTTCATTTCAAATTTCTTCGGACTCGTTTTTAAAAAGTATATACTCTGAAAACAGTTCAAAGTTTACTTTTGCTGAAGTATAACTTTCTAATAGAATACTGAGATGAGGTAGCAGTGACAATCCAGCTTCACTCAAGAAACTCTCAGGTAAGATCAAGTCCGATCCATCGTTTACAAACATGTAATACAGTATTCTTCCCTTGAATCCCTCAGAAATTTCTTTGACTCTTCCGTCAACGGGTTGAATTGCATATGCAGCTCCGAACAGACATGATTTGCCCACTTATTCTATTGCAAGAAACACTTGCAGGATTGACAATACTGATTTTGGTTATTCATTTTATTTTATTCTTTTAGTTTAAGCTCTTTTTTCACGATCACTTTTTCACTTTTACTTAAGTTGTGTTGGACGTAGCAGAGTATCCCACTTCAAGACTATTTTTGGAAGACTAACTATTGTCCTAGATCATTTATAGTGTTTGAAGTGGGCGTGAACGATAATATTGAAGATGAGAGGTGCATACTTAAGATTTTTTGAAAATCAAAAACTTAGGTAATTCTAGTAGGTTACATCGACTATTCATTGGTTAGAAGAGATGAGAAGTATTGATTTTGAATAATATTTGATACAAGTGTAACCAATAGGACACCATCAAATCGATAAAGGAGACACAAAATGATAGAATAAAGGAGAGTGTTGGCTAGAAGAGGTCGCACATACATTGCTGTAGGTGGGAAAGGAAAGATCTTGTTAATTTATACACATAATTATACTCAGGTAGCCAATTGGGGACAGTTTGGTAAAAATCATTTCGAGTTTGGGAAAAGTCAAAGTTTTTCATTTGTTGAATTTCGAGAATGTACATCTTTGGGTAAAAGAAGAGGAAAAATAAAAGATATTCATTTGTTGAATTTCGAATCTTTGGCTAAAAGATGAAGATGAAAAAAAAATTTCCTTATACATTGTGTAATTATTTTTAAAACTGTAAGACGAGATTGTTGACTTAGATAGACAACATGCATTCAGTTAATATAAATAATTTTCTGAACGCATTTGACGGAATTCTGTTCAATGCACACTATGTACGTCTCCAGTTCATACAATCAAAACTCTTTGAATGTGATGGAGGTAATATGAAAATATCTATTAATGGAAATCATATGAACACCGGCGTGTGGAGCAATGATGCAGCCACCGAGGGAGTTAATACTTGTGTATGCCATCGAATTTCGGATTACAAAAAGGAAGCACTCAACATTATGAACATATACTATAATCTAGAAACATGTTTGCAATACCAAAATAAATGAATAAATGTATTATTATGCTACAAAATAAAATTCTGACTTTTTATTTCGAGTTAAAATTACAGGTACGGAGAATGGAAAATATTTCATTGACTAAGATATGTCGGCTACTTACGAGTTGTTGCGCGGTCGTGATTTCAACCCCTATTATGGGAACGTAATAGAGCTAGCAGTCAGCCGTGAGGACGTTGGCGTGAGGCCCATGATCTTGTCAAAGAGAGTGCGCCTTCTGGGTTGTGCATGTGTCCCTTTTATTGCGGTCAGGTAATTGACAGGTTCGCATGTTCGGGTAGCTCTTGCTTGAATCCCTTTTATGACATGTTCATGACCCATTTGTGGAAAGGAGAGAATCTTAGACCATTTACCAGTTAAACGGTCTGAAGCGGAAACAGAAATGTGTATTTGAAAATATTCCACATCTGAGAATTATTAACTCACATTTTATTGGGGTTCTTTTGATTCCTAAATTAGTTTTACAATCATAGGAAACATTATTCCCCAACATTATCGGGCATGTTTCTCTAAGATAACCATCTTTGAATACTTTGGGTGTGCGACCTTTCACACGTGCACAGCAACACCTGTGATAATGAGGCAAAAGGGTACGTGATCACATCTTTCCCAAACATGATCGGATGAGTTCCTCTAAGATAACAACCTTTGGATACTATAGTTGTGCGACCTTTCTCACGTGCACCTTTCTCACCTGACTATTAATTGCACATAATGAGGTGAAGGATACATGATCAATATTGTCACATGTGGATGTGGGGGCGAT